GGGGACACAGGGACACAGGGATCAGTGCCACCTGCAGCGGGGACATGGGGACATGGGGACACAGGGATCAATACCACCTGCACTGGGGACACAGGGACACGGGGATTAATGCTACCTGCACTGGGCACACGGGGATCAATGCCACCTGCAGTGGGGACATGGGGACACAGGGACACAGGGATCAATGCCACCTAAAGCAGGGATGTCTGAGCAGTGCAGGGAGACCAATGTGTGTGTAAGAGGCTCCAGAGAACTGAGAACAGCCTACATTTAAGTTTCTACTACATGAGAATCAATTTTCTGCACTTAAAGAATTAAGATGAAAACACTGCTTGGAGGCCACAGCAATTAAGTGATAAGACTATTTAGTAACATGATGGGCTGCCCTTGACTGCAGGGAACAGCTCTGTTGGTAGCAAAGGCCATTTTACACATTTCATACAAAATGCTTTTGAATTCAGCTGAAGCAGGAGCTCATCCAGAGAGGGCAGAAAAGGATGCATGAAATAAACTTACACTACAGYGCTGCAAGAAAGGCTTTACCTTCTTGAATGATCCTCCAGACAGCAAAGAAGGAGGTTCTGAGTTGAATTTCAGGAGTTATRGGTCTGTAATATTTGTCCAAGCGGCCAACAGTTGGGGGGACTGAGGCATGAGCAAAACGAAAAGCCAAGGTGAAGACATTGGATATCCGAGGATCCACGGACTCGTTGTAGCCCCGGTAACGAGGAATGAGCCTCCGGAAACTGTGTCCCAACAGGAGAGGCAGGTAATCCCTGTAGGTAATGATCTAGGGGGGAAAAAGGAAAGGGTGAACCATTAATGTCCTGGCCATCAGTTTCTGTGCAAGCAGAGTTGTTACTCATCTTCTCTCCGCCACAACGCTCTGGCAGATCAGAGCAACGTAAGAAAAGTTTGGACTCCATGATCCCAGAAGTCTTTCCAACGTAATTGGTTCTGTGATTCTGTGAAGATAAAAGCCTGCCAAATCCTCCCAAATGTTGCCTCCTTGTCCCCATTCCCATCAGGCAGGCAGAACTGCACCCTGTGTGCCTTAGATGACAAAGATAACRCTGGCAGATAACAGGGTAACACCACCCACGGGCAGCTACGTGAGTCCTCCCACAGCAGAGATTTTCAACYCTGCTCTCATGTCTCTCTGGGATATTGAGGAGGCAGAACAATATAATTTAAAAAAAAAATTTAAAAAATCCTGTATTAGTAAGAGAAAATGGATTAATTGTCTGAAAACTGCATGAAGATGAAACCATTGATGGAAACACAATGATTGAGATGCTTTTAGGACAATCCTTTAAGTGTTTAYCTTGCCCAACGGGTTTTTTCAACCATACAACAATACTTTAATTGACGGCATAAAACCATAAACATTTTGATATTCCTGCCTTTTATTCATTGTTAAACCAACTCAGAAGACAGGTTTCAAAGGAGGTGCCTTAGGAAACACTGTGTCCCTCTCTCTCATAGGACCCAGCCTTTCCTGTCAGCCATAAAACCTCATCTGGCTTTGAGGTCATTCCTGCCCCAAACTGGAGGCTGGATAAGAGACCTCAGGAGRTTCCTCCCAAGCACAGAAGTATTTGTGTGACCCCAGGATCCTGTTCAGGGTCAAGTCTGGGTTGCAGTCCCAAGGGGACACAKGACTGGCTGCACCCACCAGCACAAAGGGCTTCTTGACAGAATCCCAGAATGGTTTGGGTTGRAAGGCACCTTCAAGGTCATTTCATTCAAACCCCCTGCCATGGGCAGGGAACTATTGAAAGGAGGAGACTCACAACCCAGAGGAATTTTAATCCACATTTCCAGTGCCATTCATATCATATACAAAACATACACCAGTTAAAAAAATGCATCCTCTGACTTCTCTGTTCTTCAGACAGAAAAGTGCCATTGAAAACCACATCAAGAACTTTGTAAATTTAACAGTAGAGGGATATCAGAGATTCAGGGGGACCCCCTCTGTGCTTGTCATTTCAGGTACCTCTGTGTGATTTTGCTTTGGTTGAAAAGGGATCGGTGGAAAGAATTTTGCCCTTTCACCCCAAAATCCTTCACTCTTTGGCCACACACACTACCACAGCCTAACACACAAATCCTGTGAGACTGCAGGAGGAGCCAGGGCAGGTGAGATGGTGGCTGGTACCTGGATCATGGCTCCCAGGATCTTTCGTGCCTCCTGGTAGAGCCTCTCATCATTCCAGTGGGGATTGAGGCTCTGCAGCTTCCCAGCCAGGCGGTTGTGCTCCCGCAGGAAGAGCGTGTGCATGCAGGCCAGCTCCAGCATCTCGCTYGCCCGGGTGTCACCTGGGAGGGGCACACATGACATGGGAGTGGGAATGTCACACTGGGAAGCACACACAGAGGAATTTTTAGATGTCTCGATATTTGTGTTGTGAAGAAAACGGTTAAGGAATGCAGAGGAGGAGAAGGAAACCAAGGMTCAGACAGCACCAGGGAAAAGTGGAATTTCTGCAGAGGCAGCAGAAGTCAGGTGCCACCGTGGCTGTGCTGAGCACTACAGAGAGGTGGGGAAGCTTTCAGTGAAGGGCTGGGAGCATTAACTTAAAAAGTTAAATACAGTAGGTCTTCTGCAGGCTCCYCTATCAGAGACATTCGGTCTCACAGCTCGAGAGGGAAATGCAAACACGCAGAGAGAAGTCAAGATGGCCAAGGCAGCTCTGCAAATCAGAGGGTCTCCTTCAAACCAGCTGAAACTGGGGCCAAAGCAAGGTGACAGTCACAAACAGGCTCTCTGGGGAGTAAAAGGAAAAGCAAAATGAGTCAGCTTKCAGGAATAAATTACAAACAGCATCACAATGAAATATCAAATCCTTTTACAAACATCTGGGGCAGGAAACCCAAGAGCAAGCAGGTGATGAGAGTATAGACAAGCACTCAGAGAAAAGTAAATATGTGGTATTTGGTCCCCTTGTCCCACAGCAAATAGAGAGATTTGCTTCTGCACTTGGCACAGAGCCCTTTTCATCCACTCTCAAAGGCTGCCTGTGAGGGACTGCGGAAGGAGGAACAAAAGCAGCACTGTGAGGTTTCCATGAGCAGAATGCTTCCAGCCAGAGCTTCCAAGAGAGCTCYGGGAGCAAACGCTGAGCTCTGTGAGGCAACTGCACATGTGAAAYCCCCCCCGTTCTCAGGGAGCGGAAGAGTCACAAATAAGACACTGAATTTTCAAAGGCGCTTCTGAAATAGCCTGAATTGATGACTACAAAAGCATTGATGGGTCTGTTCCAGCCATGGAACAGGAACTGCTCCTCACTGAGAGTTTGTGGGGGCTGGAAGCCCCTCCTGGGAAGTATCTGATACTCCTGCCCGCTCTGCTCCTCACTGGACACCTGCCTTTGGCAACAGGTCCTCTGTGGTGCTCACCAAGGACAGGGGAGCAGATGAACACACGAAACAACACATGGGACAGATGGAATTTGAGAGCATGAAACACCATGAGCTTCAGAGGAAGCAGCTGATCAACTCMAAGGACCATGGGGATGTTCAGAGGAACTTGGGTCAGATCTGAAGGGAGTAGAAAGCAGTTCCACAGAAGATGAGATCTGTTGTGCCCTCAAGCTTTCTCCAGCAGTGCCACAAGCAGCCTGGCATGGCCAGAGCCAGCAGGAGCCAGCTGGGAAGTCCTGCTCTCCAAAAGAAAAAGGCCAAGGAGTGAGACACTAATTCATGAGGTGTATCAGCAATATCCCTCTCTGGGGTCCCACAGGCTTGTGGCAACACCCTGGTCCTCAGGGKCAGGACCAGGAGAAGGGAGCAGTGCTGAGGATCCGTGAGGTCAGTTCTGTCTCTGTGAGCTTAGGGTCAGAACACAGCAAAGGGCAGCAGAGGGAAAGGGGGTGGTGGTTGTGCAGGGATCTGGCTGCAGGGAAGGCTTGGCTGTGGGAGCCCATGCCCAGGACCACAGGAGTTATTTTGGGTCGAAGAAGGATCAAGGGGATACCAAAAGCATGACAAAAGATAAATGTAGCAAGAGGGTGTTCCAATGGACTGGCCTGGCCAGATGCTCCCAGTGCTCCCCTGGGGTTCACAGTGGTGGGGACACACCTTAAAAAGCCACCTTGGCCTGGGACTGGCCTCATTCTCATTCCAGCTGGGATCTGAGCTCCTCTCACAGTGCAGCAGGCWCATACAAAGGTTTCCTGCTGTGGCCCAGCACAGCAGTTACACACCTGTTCCCTTCCTGCCGGGACAGATACAGCCATGGAATGACAAGGACAGACAAGCCATTGTCCCCAGGCCAGGCTGCCATTGCCAGGCCTGCTCGGCTCCATCACGGCACTGGGTCACTCTGCGCCCTACACCGGAGCTGCTGAGCATGGATGGGACATCTTCACTCCAAGTTTATCCTCACTCCAGGTTTATCCTCCCAAAGAAGACTTGGAGATGGTGAAGACCTTCGTCCTACCTAGCACAGCCTGTCTCAATCTTTCATGATTTGCTCTGCTCCATTTTCTACTTAAATAAGAAAAGCAAACAACTAAAGAAGCAAACCAGAGCCACCGGAATTGTCTGCTCCAGATTCTGGGTTTGGGATGCCAACACCCAACCCACCTGCAAAAAAACAAGGGATTCGAGCCGCCCCGCTGGCCTTGAGGCAGGGCTCCTTCCTCATGGGGCCGAAGGGCATGTACGCCCTGCCCCTGTCGGTGAAGTTGTGGTTCACAGCCAGGAGGCCCCGCCGGCCGCTCCGGTCCCGCAGGCGCTGGGCCACGGCCACCTCGCTGCCATACACGACGCTGCCGTCCAGGAACGAGSTCAGAGCGTTGATCTGCTCCCGGATCGCCCTGCCCCGTGTGCAGGCGGGAGCTGAGCGGAAGAAAGGGAGGCAATCCCTCCTGTTGGTGATTCGGGGGTCGTTGGGTGGGATCTGCAGATAGAGAACAGGARAATTCGTCAGTGGCTCAGGAGGGCAGAAGCTGCACTGGGAGATAGAGCCAGGCAGGAACGCTCTCACAGGGCATAAATCTCCAGCATAAATCTTGAGATGAAGGGTYAGATTGACAGCAGAGATGATGCTTTAGGTGTCCAAATCCCTAGCAGCATGGAGACACCTAGATTTCCCTAARGTCCTATGGATTCCTAAAGTTTTTCCTCTGAAAATAAATACATTGGATATAATCTTTAAAGCTCAGTTTTCTTATCTCCATATCTACACCATAGATAGYTGTCATCCACAACCTGTGACCCTGCCTGCATTCTCAAATGCGTGTCAGGCAAATACCCAGTGATACTCCATCCCATCTCAAGACAAAATAGTTTTTCTTTAGAGGAATTAGGAGCACATGTGGGAGCCAGACCTGCAGCAGAACTTCAAAGGCAGGAGAACAGAGCTGCAGGAAGGACATGGACATGATCTGGAGAAAAGAAGGTGCTGGGGGGACCTTCTGGCTCTCMACAAAATCCCTGACAGGAGCGGGCAGCTGGGGGTGGGTCAGGCTCTGCTCCCAGGGAACAGGGACAGGAGGAGAGGAAATGGGCTCAAGCTGTGCCRGGGGAGGTTCAGGGTGGACATCAGCAGGAATTTCTGCATGGAAAGGGTGGTCAGGCCTTGGCAGAGGCTGCCCAGGGAGGTTTGGACTGCCCATCCCTGGACTRGATGTGGCAMTCAGGGCTCTGGGCTGGGTGACAAGGYGGGCATCAGGCACAGGCTGGATTTGATGACCCTGGAGGGCTTTTCCAACCCCAATSATTYTGTGACCWACTGGAGCAYAGTGTGACTCCTGCTAATGCCACAAGCACTGYTGGGGTATCTCAGAACTCCCATATCCTGTGAAAAGAGAACTTCAGTCCCGTGGATTTTCTGGGATATTGACATTCCCCAGTGCCTGTCTGGGACATTTCCTTTTTTTCCAGCCATCACCTGTGCAGCCTTTGCACTACAGCTCCAAAGAAAAACWGCACTGCTGAGGGAGATGGGAAATGCCTGGAAACCTGGGAAATGCTGTTTCTGTGCTTGGAGCCCAGGGACAGCCCTGCCACCACACAGAGTGCTCTGACCCCCTTGGGCTGCTCTGGGAGGATGTTCCTCCATGGCCAAGGACCTGGAGAAACAYCAGCATCTCCTGGTGGGAAGAGAGATGCCCCCTCCCTTCCTCCCCTGGGAGAAGGAGGCTGGCTGTACCTGGATGGGAAAGCAGGGAGGCTTCTTGGCACAGCTGGTGTCACAGTCTGTCCCACCGGCAAATGGGACTCTGGCTGGGGTTTCTGGGCTGAAATCCAGGTCATGGTCAATAAACTGGCCCCACTGCATGAACATGAGGGATCTCTGCTGGTCCATCTGGAGCTGCTCCCGGGGGAAGCGGACGATGTCGTTGGACACTTGTCGGACCTGCAGGGATGGAGGCAGAGCACGTGGGGGGAAAATGACGTGAATGAATGGCTGCATCCGGTTGTGGTGTCATCAGCAGAAAATCCCAAGGCACTCCTCGGGCTTTGCAGACAAAAAAAATCCCAAATCTATCTGCACTGGAAGGTGTTACTGAGTACCCTTTGCTGAACACTGCGCTGCTCTGACTCTAGGCAGGGTTCTGAGCCTCCAGGCCAAGACTATCCCTTGATGAACWTAAGGAAACAGCTCAACAAGCCTGGCACAGGGGGGCAAAACAGATTTTAAAAGACATTTTTAAAATAGAAGCATGGAAAAAAATTTGCCCTGGGAATTTCTGGAAGTGATCTCAAAGTTCTCTCTTTCCCAGCCATCACAGTTCCCCCACCCTTTTAGCACAGAAAAATTTGACACTGTGCTGTGGAAGAGGGTTAGGAAGTACAACAAACCCATGAGCACAACCAGGAAATGCCCAGCACCTCATCAGAGTTATTGTTGCACCGAGCTCAGGTGACCAGAAGCCACWTCACAGTGTCCCTGCTCAGATCCAGGTGCCACGAGAGCCACAACTCCTGCAGTTCCCCCACCCAGGGACCCACACAAAGCATTTCTGGCCATATATTTTTGTTCTGGGGGTTCCCTTGCTCACATTATCCTCTGCCATAATTGTTTTTCAGGAAACTACAACTGCCATAAACCAAATCAAAAAAGATAGTTAAATAATTTGGCTTAAAGGGACTCAATTTAAAAGAATACATTGTGTAATTCTTTCTTCCTCCTGTGCTTCTGCAGCAATCAGATTCAYTTTCATTTGCTTTTCCTGAAGGCATGGGACTTAGAAAGCATTCCTAACAGATTCCCCTGGATAGTCTCAGTCCATCACTCTGAAGCTGGTGCATTTAGGCTCCTCCATCCTGATTGACCACTCCAGCTGGTGGATGAGCCCTTTGATGCCTGTGACCTGAGCAAGAACTGACAATCCCCAAGCCCTGACACTGTAATCTGAGACTGTTACAAACTTTACCAGTGGAAGGGGGAATCCAGAGTAGCGCCTTCCTTCCGTCCACCCGCGGGGCACAGAGATGCCATCCTCATATTCTGCTGGCAGCCACCTGGCCAGGGCYCTGTTGGAAGCTCCTAGGGATGGGTTCCTCCTGTCAGAGGAAATGGAAAAACAGCAAAGAGAGCCAAGAGCTCGTGGATGTGGAGAGACATGGACCTTGGAACGGGAGCACCCTGTGGTTTGGGAGCTCCTGCAGCTCTATGGGCTTGGTGCTATCAATGAACCTCAGGATTAATGACCCTTGAGTTCACCTTGTCCCCGCTCAGAGCCCTGAGTGCCACGTCCAGTCCCTCCTTGGGCACCTCCAGGAATGGGGACTCCACTACTCCGCTGGGCAGTTCCAGTGCCTGACCACCCTTTCCACTGAGAAATTCCTTCTGATGACCAACCTGAACCTCATCTGGTGCAACTTGAGGCCATTTCCTCTTGTCCTGTCACCATCCACCCCCATCCATCCATCCATCCATCCATCCATCCATCCATCCATCCATCCATCCATCCATCCATCCATCCATCCATCCATCCATCCATCCATCCATCCATCTATCCTCCTGCTGACACAGCCCCTCACCTGTTGTTGCACTCGCCAGTGATGGTTCTGTAGCCAGAAGAAGCACAATTTATTTTCTTATCCTGCTGGTCACATCCAGTGGCCTTGAAAATCATCCCCAGCTGAGCTGGAGTCAGCAAGTCTGCCAGGGAACAAGGGAGAATAAACATGCAGGACCACACTGGTTTTCCTCCCTGTACCCTTGTAGCTGTACCCAGCATCATCTGCACGACCATGCCGTGCTGTCATTTAAAATATTCTGCCTCGAAGAGGTGCTGAGGATGCTGAGGATGCAGCAGATGCTTTTTCTGGCTTGGAAAGCATCAAACCCAGCAAAACTGTGGTCAAAACTTGTTTATAATCACACATTTGGTTTTGCAGCAGCAGAATTGTTTTCTAGGACTGGCATGTCCTCTCCCCTCCCTTTTTGTCTCCACCATGAAATGCAAACAGCCACAGCCATCCTAGGGGGGTGTTACAAGTTTTCCCCCTGGAAGCAGCTCCCAAGGTGTGTCACCCCTGCTCAGATCTGCCTGGAAAAGAACCATCCTGTGGCTGGGCTCACCAGGGGCTTTGTGCTGTGCACATTTCCCCTTGCAGGGGAGTTAAGTGGCCAAGTTCAACAAGAAAAGYCTGACAGAATCATTCAGTCATGGAATAATTTGATTTGGAGGGACCCTAAAGACTATATTTTTCCAACCCCCTGTCAAGGGCAGGGACTCCATTATCCCAGGYTGCTGCAGCCTGGCCTTGGACACTTCCAGGGATAAGTCAGCCACAGCTTCTCTGGGTCCTGTGCCAGGACCTCACTACCCTCAGAGCCAGGGATTCCTYCCTAACATCKAATCCAAATCTCTCCTCTTTTCGTTTAAAACCATCCCCTCTCTTCCTGTCACTATCTACCCACGTAAAAAGTCTCTCCATCTTTTTTATAAGCTCCTTCAGGCATAGGAAGGGGCTCCAAGGTTTACACGGAGTCTTTTCCAGGCTGACCCCAGCTCTCCCAATCTGTCTCCACAGGGAAGGTGCTCGCTCTCAGCTCTTGCTGCTCTCACTCCACATCCCRTGCCTCAGAGGTTTCCTGGTCAATGCTGCCACCAACAGTCTGGGTCACGGCATGGTTTAAAAAGCCACTGGGCAGGCGGGTGAGAGGCGGCAGCCAAGCGGCCCTGGCAGGGCTCTGGAGTGGTGCTGGAGCCTCAGTCCTGAATGGAGAGGCTGGAGCTGAGCACTGTCAGTTCTGCCATCGCCTTCCAGGTCATCCTGTCCTGGAGCAAAGCCAGAGAACCCCACGATGTGTCTTGTCCTGACAGTGTTTTGCTGTAATGCTGGGAAAGTGTCTGACACCARGCTGGACAGGGCCTGGAGCCGCCTGGAATAGTGGAAGGTGTCCCTGCCCATGGCAGGTGTGGAACAAGTTGGTCTTTAAGGTTCTTTCCCCCCCAAACCATTCCAGGATCCCCATGAGTTCATCTTTGTGTGCCAGGAGGACTCTTTGTGCAGTTTATCTCACTGGCCCCGATTTGCCTCCTCTCTCAGCAGACTGGCCTGGCCTGACTCCACCTCACAGAGGGTGATGCTCCTCCAGAGACTCACTGAAATGTCCTTTCACATCTCCCCATTCTCTATTTGGACAGTATGCTRTCTCTGAYRTGGCTTTTGTGCAGGCTGGGGTCTRGCTGAAAAATTGCCTTCCTTGGGGTCAGGCTGCTGGGAGTCACTGGGTTTGCTCATTTCCTCCTCAAGCATCTACCAAAGCCTTCCAAGCTTTGAACCACTGGAACAGGAACCTCTGTGCAGCAGAAAGAACCAGGGAAGTGCACAAAACACTTCCACCAACTGAAACACCCCCAAATAAATAAATAAATAATGGTAAGATGGAAAAAGAGCGCAGAAAAATAACTCAGCTTTGCTTCATTGCAGCCACAAGGGAGAGATTTGTCATGGCCCRTGACAACCCCCTTTCCTTCCCTCCTCCTAAGCCCGGGTCATCAAGCCCTCTGCCTTMCTCCCACAGAGGGGGCTCCCTACCTGTGACGTTGAAGTTCCCCCTCACAGCCCCCCGCAGCCTCTCCTGGAGCAGGCTCAGGGTGTTGTGCAGATAATCCGCTGCCCGGACGGCTGCTCGCGTCCCCTCCACTGGCTGCTTGAAATATCTCAGCAGCTCTGCTGGGGTCAAGGCATTGCTCTGCAGGTTCTTCTTTATGCTGCAAGGGACAAGAACCCAAAATCTGAAATGGGGCAGGGTCAGGAATGCTGCAGTTGCAGACCTGAGCATCAGGCACAGCATATCCCAAGTCTGAACTGATGGAGAGGCACTGGGAGAGGCCAGAGGTGCTCCCAGCACCCTCCACAGAGCAGCACAGGGACTTGCAGGGAGGGAGTCTCCGAAATAGCCCAGCTCCACCTGCCAGAAGGCAAATCTTAGGGCTTTGAATCCATGAGGCACCAAAGCTCGTTGAGCTGTTATCCAAATCATCAATATCTGTCACCATCCAGGGGCCTCAAATGTCTCMTGGTCACCCTGTCCCGAAGCTGCTGGCACCTCTCAGCTGGAGGGGTCCCCAAGCCAGGGAGGGGATTCAGAGTGTGGCTGCTGGCAGAGGACAGGTATGGGCTGGTAGGAAGCTGGACACCCCCAAAGCATGGCTGGGAGTGCCACAAAATATCCTCACTGGTGCCTCCAGCTGTTTGCTGCATCCCTGGGAGGGAACCAGTGAAAATCAGCAGGAACCTGTGCTGGTCTCAACTCAGAGCTCCTGCTCAGAGCACCCTGAGGGGAGGAACACAACTCAGCAACAGCATCAGGTGCTGCTGTGAAGGTGCTAAGGCCCTGGCACAGGGTGCCCAGAACAGCTGGGGCTGCCCCTGGATCCCTGGCAGTGTCCAAGGTCAGGCTGGACATTGGGGCTGGGAGCAGACTGGGACAGTGGGAGGGGTCCCTGCCATGGCAGGGCCTGGGACGGGATGAACTTTAAGGTCCCTTCCAACCCAAAGCATTCTGGGCTTCGTGATTCCACGAACACTCAGCTGGGAGGAGCAGGACTGAAGAGGTGTGGCTGGCCCAAGAGACTGGTGTAAAATCAGCATGAGTGGGCAGAATTCTGGATGACAGCTCGCTGCGCTCCCGGAGCTCCCCACCGCGCTGTCGCTGCGCCCCGGGGACGGGGAGAGGCGGGGGAAACTGCGGTGCAGGAGGGGACAGGGAAAGGGATGGGGACAGGGATGGGGACAGGGACAGCGGAAGGGGCAAGGGAAGGTACAGGGACAGGGGAAGGGACAGGGATGTGGGGAAGGGACAGGGATGGGGACAGGGATGGGGACGGGGATAGGGACTGGGACAGGGATGGGGATGGGGACAGGGAAAGGGACAGGGATGGGGACAGGGACGGGGACTGGGACAGGGATGGGGATGGGGACAGGGACAGGGACTGGGACAGGGATGGGGACAGGGACGGGGACAAAGAACGCGACAGGAACATGCCGCACCCAGCCCGGCTCTCACCGGTCCCGTGTCCGCTTGTAGGCGGCATCCACCGACTGCCGGGCTTCGGCCACGCTGCTGAGCACGGACGCGTCCGACACAGCCGGGGGCGCATCTGAGCGGGGAAAGGGCAGAGCAGAGGTGAGGGAGCATCCCTGCGCCGTGCTGCTCACTCTCTAGAGATCTGCATGTGAATATAATCCTCGGGGGAGTCTGAGAGTCCCTCCATCAGCACCTTTCTAACAGCCCCCGGTGAGAGGTGCAGGCACCATCCCTGCTGCCTTTGCACAGCAGAGCACTTGAATAAACTGCCCAGAGAAGCTGTGGCTWCCYCTGGATCCMTGGAAGTGTCCAAGACCAGGCTGGACAGGGCTTGGAGCAACCTGGGATAGCAGAAAGTGTCCCTGCTCATGGCAGGGGTTGGAATGGGATGATTTAAGGTCCCTTCCAATCCAAACCATTCTGGGATTCTCTTATTCCAYAAGCAGCTGAATTTCCCCACAGCTTTCCCCAGTCCCTCCTGCAACCTCCCACCACTCTGTTTCCCTTCCTGCCTGGGGGAGCTCCCAAAAATGAAAGCAATCTCCATCATCTGTTGGTTGTGGGTCACAGAAGGGGAGGGGACAGGCCTTGAGGGCTCCTTGAGTGACAGCACTTTCCTACAGCTTCTGGGAAGAAAAAAACTTCAGAAAATAGCACAAAAGGGWCTAATATCTCCCAAATCTCCAGTTTCTTTTAAATGCCTTCCCTGATCGCTCCAGAGTTTACCTCTTGGACAATCCTAATGAGAAAAATTATTGCCTGGAACACCGTTTGAGACAAATGAAAAGCTAGGCATGTACTTTTTATGAGGACTTGACATTGTAAATTAACGGGCGGAGGTCTCTGTATGTTTTAGAGCAGTGATTCAGGGCTTGAAGAGAGGGAGTGACTGCCCCATCCCCACACTCCACAGGCCCTGGTAGCTCTCCCAGGCACTGGCACAGGCAGGAGCCCCTCATTCCATGGGGATGGACCAGTGCTGGGAACTGCTCTCCTTTAACCTGATTTYAAGGAATCAGGCAGGACTGATAAAAACCCAAAATAGCTGCGATTGGTGCCACAGGAGGTATAAACTGGGCTCCTTCTGGCACCTCTTCAGGGCTGTGCTGCTGAGTGATTCAGGCTATTCCAGACTTAACTTTATCCTTCCCACTGAGAAAATGGCCTGATCTGCAAAGGAAAGGACAATACCGTAGGAAGAGGATACAGATGCCTGGAACAGGTTGAGGATCACCAACGACCCCAGGAAGATTTCTGCCTTCATCCCTGCAAAGAAATGTAGGTGAAGAAGACCAAGGACCTGTGGATGCATCAGGAAGGTCTGTGCCCACGCTGAGGATGGCACATGTGAGGGAGCTCATGGAGCATCCCCTGCCAAGGAGGTCCCCTGCAGCCCCGGTGCAGAGGGAGCTGCCTCCTGTCCCAAGGACTCCCAGCACTGGTGGGAATGTGCCGCTTGGGGCTTCAGGGGCAGCCAAAAGGGAGCAGAACTTGCTGCCAGGGCAGCATGCAGTGTGCAAGGGAGAGCTGCTGGGGAAGAGGGAAGAGCCAGGACAGCACGGCAGGTCCTCCACACCTCTGYTTCTCTACCTTTAAATTCCAATAATCCTCTTTGTAAGCAGTCATGTAGTCATAATATRTCACATAAAACCATACAAGGACTGTAGTCTCCTTATTCCTGACATGCTTGGGATTGAGGATATTCAGATTAAAAATTCCACCAAAAGTTTGGACAAAATAATACTTCAGTATTTAGAATTTGGCTATGAAAATCACTGTGAGTGAACTGTTTGTGCTCCTCAATAGACCCAGAGTGAAGCCAACCACAAGCTGGGTATCACTCTATCCCCAGAATAATAAAATATGGCATTTATATTTGTGTTTTAATGGGTATTTATTCAGTTACTACCTAGCTGCTCCTTTAACGTGCTGCAGAAGGTGTGGGGAGTATTTAAGAGCCGTTTAATTGATTTTTGGGATGATTTTCCCCAAGGAGACCCACTCACCTCCCAAGGCTGCTCCAAGGCAATCAGCTCCCAGAACGAGCCCAGAGCTGTGTGCTGGGCATCCGCCGCGGAGCCGCCTCAAAGGCAGCCCAGAGTGCCCCCTGAAATGCCCAGCTACCCCCGGACCCTGCGGCAGAGCCCCTGGCGACAGCAGTGACAGCAGCGACAGCAGCGACAGCAGCGACAGCAGCTGGTCCTTCCTCGCTGCGCTGCAGCCGCGCCCGGCGCCGGGAAGCAGAGGGAGAAGCTCAGCCCCAACTCAGCCGCAGCCCCTCAATCCCGCCCCTGGCACAGCACCAAACCCTCCCCAAGAGAAAAGCGGGTGTCCCCGGGTCAGTCTCTCACCTGCCATCCCCCGCCTCCTCCTCGGGCCCCTCCGTGCCCGCTTTTATCTGCCCGGCGTTATCAGCTGCCAGCGCAGCACTGACCTCCCTCCCACCCGAGTGCCCGCCGGGGAGGCTCCTTCGCTCCCAACTGGACACAGTCTGATGCCGCATCAGAGCTTCCCAACCATTTATAAAGGTGATGTGACCACTTTGTGGTGGTTTTAGAGTCTCGAGCCCCTCTGGGAGTGTCCTCCAGGGACAAGGTTCCTTCCCCCATGGTGTTCTTTATTCTTTGCTGCTTTTGAAGGACRAAAAACCATTTTCACATCTATCCCCGGAGACACCTGCAGTGCTCAGCACCCCCCATGCCACCTCCTGCTCTGCCCCATGTGGGTCCACGGGAACTGCTCCCTGAGCAGGAGGAGGCTCTGGGATGATGGTTTGGACAGATATCACCGTCCAGCAGCTGGCATGGAGCACAGGGCAGCCCAGGCAGGCCTGGCCCCTGCCCCAAGTGCTGCTGCACCGGCAGCTCAGCTGGCAAAGCAGCTCCTCCCGCGGGCCAAAGTCCCTCTCTCTGTGTCAGAGCAAACGCACCTGATGSGCAAATCCTCACCACGCTGATGGGGCAGGATCCTGCTGGACCGGTGAGGGATGTGTTTGAGCACAGAGGTGTTCAGGGAGGCAGAGGAGCTTCTCCTCAGCTCCTCCCGACTCACTGCACACTGCGATTGTGTTTGCTCTCATGATCAAAACTCTTTGRATCAGCAGATCATCAGACTGGGAACAACAAAGCTCCTGCCAGGGCTCCCCAGGGCTGGTTGGATGAAGGTCTTTACCTGGACTCTGCCCTGCATGGACACCCCAGGACCCACAGTGGCTGTGGAATGGTACAAGTGGTGCAGTGCTTCTGGCAGTGACTCTGCAGGTGTGTCCATCCCCAAAGCTGGGCTCCACCATCCCCATCCCCAAAGCTGGGCTCCACCATCCCCAGCCCCATCCCCAAAGCTGGGCTCCACCATCCCCAGCCCCATCCCCAAAGCTGGGCTCCACCATCCCCAGCCCCATCCCCAAGGCTGGGCTCCACCATCCCCAGCCCCAAAGCTGGGCTCCACCATCCCCATCCCCAAAGCTGGGCTCCACCATCCCCAGCCCCAAAGCTGGGCTCCACCATCGCGAGCCCCAGCCCCAAAGCTGCCTCACTGCAAGTGGAGCCATGCACTGATGCTGATTCTGGTCCTCTGAAGTCTTAAAGAAAATCAGCAAAGCTAAATACAAATCTTACAGTGAGGCCCAGGTGAGGCTTTAAACCCTTTCTGATGACTGGTTTTGACAATCTGGAGGGAACCCACCTGGGTTTGGTCAGCCTGGAGGGGAGAAGGCTCTGGAAGCCTCACTCTTGACTTTGACTGTCTCTTGGAAAGGTTTCAGAGCAGACAGAGCTGTTCAGAGTGCCCAGGGATGGGACAAGAGGCAATTGCATGTGGTGCTGCTGAGAAAATTCCCAGCAGATGTAAGGAAAGGCGCAGGAGAGTTGAAGGGCCCAGAACAGAGGTGGGATCTGCATCCCGGGYGAAAATGCTCCCTTAAATGAGACCTGGATAACCTCTCCTGCCCYTCAAGGTGACCCTGACCCAAGTGACTCAGGAGGTGCCTCCAGCCCACCCCTTTGTGTGTGTGAGACAGAAGCCGAGTGCCTGYGGTCCCAGCTCCAGCTCCAGCAGTTTGCCCAACAGCAACCACAGCACGGCTCTTGGGCAAAGGGGCAGAGCTGGTGGGTTTGCAAAGCCACTCTGAGTCCTTCCCCTGCGGTGCCAGTACCAGATAGAGGAGGAGGATAAGGATTTTTCAAAGGCTACAGACAGTTAGTGCCTGTCAGTGTTGATAACTGTTTCACAATTAGGAACTTAATTCAGAGAATCACAGAATGGTTTGGCTTGGGAGGGACCTTACAGACCATCTCATTCTACCCCCTCCCATGGGCAGGGACACCTTCCACTGGCCCAGAGTGCTCCAAGCACCATCCAAGCTGGCCTTGGAGATGTCCAGGGATGGGGCAGCCACAGCYGCTCTGGGCACCCTGTGCCAGGGAAGCCATTTCTTCCTCACAGGAAAGAGTTTCCTCCCAATGTCCCATCCATCCCTCTGGCACTGGGAAGCCATTCTCCCTTGTCCTGTCTCTCCATCCCTTGTCCCCAGTCCCTCTTCAGCTCTCCTGGAGCCCCTTTAGGTACAGGAAGGGGCTCCAAGGTCTCCCTGGAGCCTTCTCCTCTCCAGGTGAGCACTCCCAGCTCTCCCRGCCTGGCTCCAGAGCAGAGGGGCTCCAGCCCTCAGAGCATCTCTGTGGCCTCCTCTGGATCCAATGTCCTTCCTGTGCTGAGCCCCAGGGCTGGAGGCAGCTCTGCAGGTGGGGTGTCACCTGAGTGGGGCAGAGGGGCACAATTGCCCCTCACCTCTGCCCATGCTAGAGCATCAGCCCAGGACAGGAGGGATTCTGACACAGGGCCAGGGCACATCCATGGCAGGGACTTGGAAACAGATGATCTTTAATATCCCTCCCACCCCAGGCTATTCTATGATTCTGTGTTGTGTTTCTCATCCACTAGCACCTCCAAGTCCTTCTCCTCCACCCATCCTTCTCATCCATCCATCCATCCATCCATCCATCCATCCATCCATCCATCCTCTTCCCAGCCTGTATCTGTGCTTGGGATTGCCCTGACTCCCATGCAGGACCTTATACTTGGCCTTTTTCAGTGTCATGAGTTTTGCACAGTCCCATCTGTCCAGCCTGTCCAGGTCCCTTTCATGGATGCCCCATCCCTGCTCTCCAGTGTGTGATCTCAACACAGCTGGATGGCACCAGGACACTGCTGAGGGTGCCCTCGAGCCACCTTGTGCTGACAAAGATGTTAAACACATCAGCCTACACCAGCCTCTGAGAAACACCACTTCAAACTGCTCTCAAAAACCAGAAACTGCTCTCTGCCTCAGAAACCATGAAGGTGGGGGGCTGTGAGATGCTTTGTCTCTTGAATATTTACTTYCCTGGAGAATGTGACCCTGCTCCCAGATCAGGGTGAATGGGAAAGGCCACGGGCCAGGCTGAGCCTTCTGGTGAGCACCAACAGCAGCACAAAACCCTCATGCTCAGAGACCACGTGCTGCCCCTCCGGAGAATGGAAACAGGAACACGTTGATGCCATCAGCAGCTCCTCCGAACAGGGGTGCCATCCACACCTGGGCTGTAGCACAGCTATTAAGAGCAGAGGATGCAAAGTAGACCTGGATGTATTTTATCTTTTTTCTTGTAGCCTTTTGTGTTTAGCCACAGCAGCTTGAAGGTCTTAGATCCTTCTCATGGAGAAATCTCTGAGCTTTGCTGTACAGCCTGCCTGGGGTTGGGGAACCAGCTGAATTAGAAACTGCTGAATGATGGGTCTGGGCCTACCACAGCAAAATTTACAGGAGGCAGAGACACAACACACACTGTGGTGCCAGGGGCTCAGCTGGGCAGGGTAAGGATAGAAGCACCAGGAGCAAGGGAGCTAGGCAGGCATTGGCTTTGCATGACCTCTGGCTCTGGGCAGACTCCACAACGTTCCAGTCGCTGCTTTTCTTTCTAAAGGTTTTGTTCTTCAATTCATCCCCTGAGGAACTGATAAAAGCAACGACAGTTTCTTTCAAAAGACCTTCAACAACTCGCTTAGGAAACTCCAGTTGGTAAATTCAGTTAGAGAGTGACTTCCTCCATGGGAGGACAGGCTGCAGATAAAGCTCTGGGTCGTTGATGAGTTTCATCACTGAGGCTGYGCCAGCAGAGCTGCTGCACTTCACCCTTTCAAAGCCTCGGGTCCTTGCCCTGTGTCCCATCCACCCCAGGACACGGTGCCTTACTGTGGTATCAAGATCCTCATGGAATATTKCTCTCT